TATATATATATATATATATCATATTTTAATGTCTACCAGTTAAAATTCTCATAATCTCTCTATTCATAAGAATTTTGAATTTTGTATAGTAAAAAACTTTAACAAGTAGGAATTAAACTTGATACACATCAATGTATGTCAATGTTAAATATATGTTGAGTTCAAACTAAATTTACTTTATTTAATAATACTATCTCCAAAATACTCCTCCATTTAATTGGATTTTCATTTCTAATGTCTTTTTCTTCTTCTTATTATTATTCTTTTTATCTTTGATATCAAGTTTTAATAAAAATAATTCATGAAAATGGGTCCTTTCTAAATTGAATTAGGGAAATTATTTCTAATGCCTTGTTTGTTTTTTTATATCAAGTTCCACATTTACTCTTTCTATTGTACAATTAACCCACATTTGTAACATCATATTTTTTGTATAATAAATAAAATAAAGTTATTTAATATCTTATATTTATAGACTTAATTAATTTATTAGTTGATCTTATAATATAAGTAATGAGTGATTTATAAATAAAATAAAATAGATGTTTGGGTTATGTGCTCGATTAGTGGGTTAGCCTTTGGGTTCGGACTCCAAAGTTCAACCTAGAGTTTGACCTATTAAAGTGGAGAGGATGAAGGGTTAAGTCCTATAAGTCAATTTTGGGGTTTTGGAGTTTCTAATTCTTGAGAGACTGCAGAGGAGATTTTGCCTAAGGAGTGAGTGGAACAACCTCTATATATCACTTAGATTGTACCCTTCACACCAAAGATTGTCATTTGAGGTAAGAGAGAAATTGAAATTATCTTACATATGGATGCCTATGATGGTTGCGGGTAGTGATATGATCTTTGAGCATCTTTAGGACCTTTTGATGTATTAAGGGTTATGAACACCTTGATATGAGTGTTGATTATATGAATTGATTATGTGTTGAACATTAATTTCATGGTTGTTTGATTTGTGATAATCTAAGCTTTTTGTTCTAATGTGTGGGTTAGGGTTCATGATGTTGATTTAGGTTTTTTCTTTTCTTTTCATAATTGATGTATGTTGTTGAAATTGAAGCAATTTATTCAAGTATTATGAGTTACGTTAGTGCCTTATTTTTGACTAAGTGTTTGTTGAGCAAAAACAAAGAGTAAAGATGAAATTTTTGTGGCTATCAATTGTGTCTAATGTAATTTCGTAATAACTCTATGTTGATAGCACGACTGTGCTTGTTCATAAGCACATTCATGCTGAGCTAAATTTGAGGGAACAACAATCATGCTTAAAGAAGCATACTCGTGCATGGTTGTAGTTGAGTAAACCATAATTGTGCTTAAGGAGACATGCTTGTCTTGGGCTATGTTTGAGTGACACATTCTTGTACTTAAGGGAACACATACACCTATGTTTCCCACGTGCTCATTGTGTGAACTATATGTATGTCGATGAATTAGTTAATTTATGATATTGGGCATTGAGAGAGAGAGTTAATTAGTAAAAGATGATGGGAGGGCTAACTATTGATTAATAAGAGATCTTGTGCTTGTATGCGATATGAGATGCTTATGCATGATACAAATTAAGTCTAAGTGGTGACTTAATAGTGTGAAATCCAAGTTATCTTGGTCATTTATGAAGTCTAGACATGGTGGTCTAGCTAGGTGGGAGTTTAAGCTTGGACTTGTTGAAATGTGATAAGTGTGTTATGTATTTTTGTGTGTTTTCATGATGTGGTTGGGAGTCCATGCATTCATGCATAGTTTATCTAGAGGTGAGTTTGAGTCTATGTTGGAGGCTTTTTATGGTCTTCTAGCTTGGTCTTGAGAGTGTTATGGTGGGGATCCTTTTGTCTATGAATGTGATAAGGGGAAACCATGCGTAATTGTGATAATCGATCTTTCTGGCTCTTGATATATTTTGTTCTAGTGAAAGTGGAACACATTGATTACCCATTTGTAAAAATCATTTTCTTGTCCATGTACTCCTAGACTACTTCATATGCGTGCACCTTGTGTGAAGGTTGACTGGAACCATATGCATATAAAAATTAAGAGCACGAGTCTAATGAGTCATATATCTTGATGTGAATGAGCTCGAGTTATTATTGTTTGTGTTAGTTACTAGCTACTTATTCTCTTTATATATATGTTCCTTTTCCATGTGTGAGATATATTCTGACTCCTTTATGTTATGTTTTCTTGTTTGGGATGAACACCAATTTCAAGTACAGATAAGATAAAAGAGTTTGAACTTAATTACAGGAGATGAAACTTAAGCTTCAATTTTACTTTGATAGGACTATTGTGGTTAGTGTGATATTAGGGTTTAGAAGACTAGTTTATATTTTAATTTACTTTGTTTATATTTGCTTTATGTAAACCTTTACTTTAGGTTTTGAAGTTTCTTTTATCATACTTAGAGTTTTAGACTTACTATGAGAACTTGTAAAGGAAATTGATGCTCATTTATCTTCCTTTTACCAAAACTTACTTTATCATTAAATGCTAGAGTTTTATTCAGTATGACATACAATGTGAATCCTTATATCCATGGATCAAATTCTTATTTATAGCATAATGTATTTTTATTAATCACTACTTTTTATTAAAACATTTTGGAGTAGAAGAGTATCATATCATCCACACATAAAGCACAATATATAGTAAGTTCATTTCCACCGGTGACGGTGACACACTTTTCCTTCACTCCTCCACTCAAAATTATGCTTCCTCACATCCTTTACTTTGCATGTTATCGCTCCCTTCACTTTGATCCCCCACCATTATTTTTTTTCTCTCTCTTTAGCATGTTTTTCTTTCTCATTGATGAGGCTAGTGACCTTTAATAAGGCATAAGCTCCCCATTGCCAAACGCTCAACTGCCACCTTAATTGAAAAAGGGAGAAGGAAAAGTTGAAAAAGAAGTATAAAAAGTAAAGGGGAGGGGGGAAGAATTTTTTTTTTTGTTTTCATGTTAAAATAAAATATTTTTGTTGGCCATGTTAATAAGTGCCGGTCAAATCAATGTATAAAATGATTTTATGATTATCCGTCAATTTGAATTAATTAAATGTAGTATCAAATGAATTTCAAATTTTTTAAAAATTTGTAGATTAATCTATGTATTAAAAACTTTAATTTTAACAGTTAGATCGTTAAAATTTGATGTAGAACATGAGTTATTGAACGGAATAAATCTAAATAAATTTATTCCTAGAATAAACAGATCCTTTCTATTATATATATATATATATATTCATTAGTGTTAACTATGACAGACACAAACTTAAAAATAAAATAAAATATTAAAATCTAAAGAAAAAAAGTACACTTTAGCAGGAGTTAGCATCGATTGACGAACACTATCTAAGAGCACCTCCAGCGGCAAGTTCTTAGAGCGTTGCTTACTGACAAGCAACGGTGCTTAGAAGAAATCCCCGTTGGAGTGATCTCACGTGGCAACCCAGTTGCTTAAAAAAATTTCTTTGTTGCTTCTCCAAGCAACGGTGCTTAGCACTGAGGAGAGGCATTTGATTGGTTGAATCGGATCTACGTGGAACCTCCAAACAGCCAGTCCCGACAGCCCCCGCGCCAGAACCCCCTCCCCCCGCGAACCCCTTCCCCGCGTGCAGCTCTTGACCGGACCCCCTCCCCCTGCGCGCAGCTCCGACCAGACCCCCTCTCCCTGCGCGCGCGGCTCCGACCGGACCCCCTCCCCCTGCGCGCAGCTCCGACCAGACCCTCTCCCCCTGCGCGCGCGGCTCCGACCGGAACCCCCTCTGGCGCGCAGATCCGTCTGACCAGACCCCCCGGCGCGTGCGGCTCCGCGCGACCAAACCCCCCAAGACGTGGCAGTGGAGAGAAGAAGAAGAAGAGAGAAGAGGAGAGAAGAAGAGAGAAGAGAGAAGAAGAAGAAAACAAAAAAAAATAAAATGATGAAAGAGCCGTTGGTGAGAAGAAGAAAACGTAAATAAGAATAATAATAATAATAAATTTATTATTTTAAATTAAAAAATTATTACATATTTAGAATATTATTTTTTAAAATTAAATAAAATTTTACTTCATATGTAATAATTAAAAAAATTAATTTAAATGTACATTAATTTTATTGAAATTTAACATGGTAAAAATTTTATGCGGCTTGTATATGATAAAAAAAAACCATAACATGCT